AAGAGAGATGTGAGACACACACACACACACACACACACATATATATATATATATAGAGAGAGAGAGAGAGAGAAAGAGAGGTAGAGAGACAAACTGAGAGAGAGATGGAGAGATGAACACGATGAAGAGAGAAACAAACTGAGAGAGATGGCAGAGGGAAGCGACAGCGAAGGACAGAGGATGGTGGGCAACGCTGAGTCCGGCGGCGACGCGACGGTGGCAAGGCAAGATTGCGACCATAACGAGGTCCATTTCATCATCATTGTCATTTGTTGTTGTTATATACATATATATATGATTGTTGGGTTAGATTTCTGCTATTGATTTTTGATGAAATGGGTTTAGTGAAATGGGTATTTTTGAAATAGGTTTGATGCTAAATGGAAGGAAAAATGAAACTCTGTTCGATTTTCTATTAGATTTGTTAGAAAATGTTTTGTATATTTATATGATTATTGGGTAAACTTTCCCCCTTTCTGTACCTCTCTCTGCATCTCTAAATTTATAAATGAAACTCTGTTCAATTTTCTATTAGATCTGTTAGAAAATGCTTTGTATATATATATATATATGTATGCTTATTGGGTAAACTTTTCCCCTTTCTCTACCTCTTTAAATTTGTATATAATTTTAATGCTTGAACATTCATTAGTATGATTGGAATTTCTATACTTTTTATATATATATATATATATTTGTGGTAGTGTGTATACCATGTGTTAATAGAACTTGCAGCAAATTGAGAAAATGCATATCTTCTGGAGGATGGTGAACATAAGAAGGCATGCTTGATAGGAAACTGTGCCAATTGGATTTTTGATTTTTTTTTTTCGTATCAAGGTTGTTTTGTATCTTAACTTTATTTTATATTTCTATGTTCTTATATTTATTTGGTATAAATACCATGAAGTTCTCATAGTGACATATTCTTCCTTATTGTACTTAAATTGATAAATTTATTTATTATATACATTAACTTTGCACTGATCTGTGATAAAATAATTAATCATATTCAATGGACCGTTGCATATTATTGTGCGACTTGCTTCATTCTCCACATCAGCTATGTATTCTTAGACAAAGATATTTATCAAGAATACTTCTAAAATGCTATCAGATAATTCATCTTGTTTGGTTTACTTTTCAGATTATTCAATTTTTGTTTATGCTTTTTGTTTATGTTTTATTATCTGTACGTTATTGAATTACAAGTAATGGGAGAGAATAATGTTGTTGATGAGTTGGCCAATTGTGGTTGGAAGTCGAAATTGGGCATGTCATTTGACTTTGAACAAGCTGTGTATGACTTTTACAATACCTATGGCGGCAAGGTGTGCTTTAGTATTAGGAAGGTGTATGCAAACAAAAACAAACATACCAAGGAAATAACTTCACAAACTTTTGTATATTACAAAGAGGGAAGTCGGTGTATTGACAAGTGAGATCCACTAGTCAAATTTCCAAGACAAGAGGTGAGATGTGGTTGTGGTGCCCAATTTAGTATAAGTTAGATAGAAATTTAGGAAAATATGTTGTTTGTGATTTTGTTGAACATTATAATCATGACCTTGTGCCTCAAGAGTGCATTCATATGTTGCCATCTCAAAGAAAAATATCTACCACCCAAGCAATTGAAGTAGAATTGGCTTCAGAATCTGGAATTCCTCTTAAGTCTACTTATGAGCTATTTGGTAGGGAACCTGGTGGAAGAGCATCACTTGGCTTCACAAAATTGGATCAAAAAAATTTCTTAAGATCGAAGAGACAAAAAGATTTGGAATATAGAGAAGCAGGTAGTGTATTACATTACTTTCGTAAGAAAATTGTGGAAAATCTATCATTTTATTATGCAGTTCAATTAGATTGTGAAGAGCAAATAAGTAATATATTTTGGGCCGATACTCAAATGATCATAGACTATGGTTAATTTGGTGATATAGTGACCTTTGACACTACTTACAAATTAAATAACGAGAGGATCAAAGGTGGGATGGAAAAATCTATTGCAAAAAAGAAAATGATGTAATCTAAGCAGGTAATTACACGAAAAATTGCATATGATTAAATGATATTTTTTATATGAAAAATGCACTAGATTAATAAACTAAAACAATGATTTAATCTGGTTGGATAACTAAGTTTCCCACATATCATTCAGTAGTTCTTCTTATAATCTAGTCGGGTGATTTTTTTTATTTTCTATTGTCATTGGTTGTATATAGAGTGCTGCTATTTATACTTCCCAAGGTCAATCTCAACCTCATTTTGCCATGGGTAGTAATTCTATGCAAGTAATATTTAATATTGTGTGCAACCTTTTAGATCATAGCTTTATGAAATTGAATATCATATGTTTTGTTTATTAATCTTGTTGGATAACTTAGTTTCCCACATATCTTCCATGGTTCTTCTTGTAATCTAGTCAGGGCCGGCCCTGAGTTTTCGGGGGCCTAAGGCGAAACAATTTTTTGGGGCCTTTTAGATATTCATAAAAATAAAAATAAATATCGCCCGAATTTTCAAAAATAATTATTTGAGTTTGCAATTCGTATTTTTTTTATATTTTTTGTATTTGGCAACTTTTTTTGTTTTTTTCAAAAAAAAACAAAAACAAAAATATTATAGTTTCAAGTGTATCTAAATTAGATGTATCTACAAAATAAATAAATAAAATTGTGTAAAATATTTAAAAAACCACTAAAAAACACATAATTGGGCCATAAAAAGAGAAGAAAAAAAAAATAGGCCCCATAGACATATACATATATTTTATATTTTATTTTTTTAATTGGGCTAACAACTAACACTTACAAATATTTTTTAACTGGGTATTTTATCAATTGAGCCAAATAAAACTTTGGAGGCATTTTAAAATGGCCTAAATAAATTAAACAAAATTGGGTCATTTTGAATTTTTGATATATTACAAGATAATGAATTTTGGGACCCTTTTTTGGGCCTAATTTTTGGGACCCCAGGCACAGGCTTCATTGGCCTTAGCCCAGGGCCGGCCCTGAATCTAGTCGGCTGATTTTTTTCATTTTCTATTGTCATTGGTTGTATATAGGGTGTTGTTGTTTATACTTCCCAAGGTTAATCTCAACCTCCTTTCGCCATGGGTAGTAATTCTATGCAGGTAATATTTAATATTGTGTGCAACTTCTTCTTCTTCTTCTTCTTCTTTTTGTATACATATATATATATAAATACATTATAAAAACTAGTTTTTTCTTTCATATTTTATTTTGTTTGTATTGGTTGTATTTAGGATCATGGTCATTGTGTCTATGTTTCTTAACCTCGACCTCAATCTCAATCACAACTTCAACCTTGGATTGTAATGGGGGGTACAAGTGTTCCTTCTCTTATGTATACTACATATGATGTAAGTTGTAATTAATTACATAATTTACATTGGAAGGGTACTATACATTGCAATAAAATTTTAATAAATTTAGCACTAGTGCAGGAAAATAACATGCCTCAATCAATGCCTTTTGTCTATCCCACTCACGCATCCTTTCAAGAGTTGCTTCGAGGTACAAGTATTCAACACTTTACAGTCAGTCTTGCAAGCCTCACATAGTCCTGCTGGCAGTCATGTAGATAGCATCCCCAAAGGTTGTAAAGATTGTTGTATCAACACTCTCTATGGCACGGCAAAATTGTGCTTTGGGGTCATTTATTTTTTATGTTATTGTTTACACTCCGAACAATGTTAGGAAAGGAACTAATGTAGCCAAACTGGATGCATAATTATTATGACATTATTATCATGGATTGATTGACAAACTTCTATGACAAGAACTACAAGCAAAATGGGTATTTATCTGTTTTCAGGTTGTACTTTGGCGGATTAATTCTACTCTTTTTCAAAGTCATGCAGTATTGTATGTAACTGCTGAATAGTTCTTGGATGATGGAGACATAATTGTAGCATCCACTCTCAGGAGGCTTTTATTTTATTTCGGCAGCACTTTTATTTTGTTTGGATCATATAGACACCAAATAGTGCTTGGATGGTGGATTATTTTGTTTGGACCATAACTACTGAATAGTCCTTTGAGTTGTTGTTGTCTTGTTAATGTCCAACAATATTCCTTTTTGTTTTTGATAGATTTTATGCTTATGATCTGGGTGTCCCCAATTTAGAATTGAAGTAATAGCTTAATTCTACTCGTTTCTCAAGTGAGTCTTGGTCCATCATGTTATCATACTGTTGAGTATTTTGATACAATTCCAGAGTCAAAGAAAATAAAAAGAAAAAAATGTATTGAAACAAGAATAACAGATTTTGCTGGCAATTTGATCCATATTTTGTTAGGAATCTATAACACCCAATTAGAATGCGGAAATAGAGAAGAGCAAAAGTACAAGAATTATAAATTACACACCCACATGCAAAGGTAACTTCATTAATTAAGCATAGTACGGAATAACACCCAACTTGATCTAGATTTTGTTACGAATCTACATCACTCAAATAATTGAGTCATAGAATCAACACAATTGACATAGCATAGGTAACTTCATTAATTAAGCATTGTTGGGATTTTACATGTACATATCAAAAATCCAGTGTTTAAGCTTTACAACCCAAATACAAGTTATACAAGCAGTGGTTACATTCACTAACAGTGGTTACATTCACTTGAGCAACACCATTAGCATGGTAAAACCAACTTACACTATGGTTGTAAACATAATGAATTTCATAGCTCCTTTGTTTGCCTCAAGTCATTCTAATCTATTCTTAACTTTATTGTTTCTCTCAAAATCATAACCATACACTCTCTCATCTTCATTCTTCATATGAATAACTTTACTTCTCCTTTAGATATTTGATGCATTTCCAGTAGGAATACACTCTCTCATCTTCATTCTTCATATGAATAACTTTACTTCTCCTTTAGATATTTGATGCATTTCCAGTAGGAGCTGCTCCCCACGCAAAGTAGTTACACATCTTATCTGCATACTTGAAATACAACATTCCCGGATTTTTCTCTTATTCTGATATGTACACTGTTGTTTTTTTTTTTTTGTTTTTTTTTTCCTTCCACATTTGCATATTTTTTTTTGAAAAAATCCAGCATCATTGTTTGAACCCATTGACATGTTAATCTTAATTACAAGTAAACACAAAATTCAAACTCAGATGTAACCATGGGACCTTAACCTAGGCAGCTAATTAAGCATGTAAGAATACAACTGAGATCAATCACAACACAAATAAATAAATAAATAAACAAAGAGCCTTCAACTGCATCACATTCATCCATCAAGTAACCTAGTTCAGATATGATTTAATTCAAAAACCAAAAGATGGAAAAAATAAAATAAAATAAAATTATGTATTAGAACTTAGAAAAAGATTATAGCTACTTGCATACTCTCTGTTCAAGCTTAAAGAGAAAAACTCAAAAAGAGGGAAAGAATAAAACATTATTGAACTATTCACACATGTATAGATATGCTTTTTATGACACTTCTCCATAAATAAAGAAATCAATATACTTTTTGTTGAATCAACTTATCATTTGTAGGGTGACCAAATGTTAAGATGCTAATGGAGTTCACTACATAAATCAATCAGAAAGTATAGCTTATTCACTATGTTTGTACATGAAAAAGCTTGAGACATCTAGGACAATGGAAAAAGAGAGAGAAAAAGCTTGAGACATCTAGGACAATGGAAGGAGAGAGAGGAAAAAGCTTAAGAGATCTAGAAGGATAGAGTCCAGTAATCCAAAAGCAAGGAGGAAGGAAGACAACATCTGATTCACAACATGCAGGCTTATTCACTGTGTTTGTAGATGATATCCCTGAATCCATGAACTCGAAGAACTTGTTTGGGTTGTTCACTAAATTTGGAATAGCGAAAGATGTATACATCCCCATGAAAAGAAGGAAGGCAACAGGTTCAAGATTTGGGTTTGTAAGATTTGATTGCCCAGTGGCTGCAGAGGTTGCAGTGCAAAAAGTAAATGGATTATGGTGTGATAACAAGGAACTCAAAGTAAAGGGAGTAGAGTATCAAAAAGGTCAGGGCAAGTATGCAAAGAAGGACGTGCCTTTCCTTACACATAGAGTGAGTCACCCAAAGGCAAACATCAAATCCATTTAGGGTCAACCACAAAGATTCCAACCAGCGAGGCATAACTTTTGCAGAGATGGTCAAAAGGGGAACTACTTATCAAAAAGTATTATGTCAATTCAAGCCAAGGAAGCTGGGATTGCTTGGCTTTATAAGAGCTTAATCATTAAACTCAAGTCTTTCTTGGCCTTCTCAGATTTAAGAAAGAATGTAGGAAAAAAGGTCTAAAGGACATAGCTATCAGAATAGGAAGTGGAAAATTAGCAATGTTAACCTTCAATTCATTATAAAATATGAAGAGCCATGCAGTTAGTTTAAAGGAATCGGTATTTGATTAGTGCGATTCAATGAAAGAATGGAAATCTGGTGCAGTCATTGAGCAGGAAAGGTGTGCTTGGATTAGTTGCTTTGGCCCTTTTAATTTATAGAATGTTGAAACATTTAGAAGCATAGGTGCTCTATGGGGAGAAGTGGTCCAATTTGATGAGAATATTACCAGAGAAACCTCCTTTTAGTATGGGAAGGTTAGAATTATCACCAGTTGCATGGAGTTCATTAATGGTGTTGTGCTGGTGAAAAGCAAAGGAATAGACTACCCTGTGAGAGTGTGTGAAAATCTTGAATCCTCTGCGGTAATGGAGAAGAGCTTATATCAATGTGACTACCGACAGGTGAATGAAGGAGCATATGAAAATGGTGGTGATCAAAACAGAAGAGAGGTCCATGGCACTGAGACTGAAAGAGGAGGAAGGAGTGATGAGGTAGTAATGGTGGATGCATGTGCGGAGGATGAGGTGGCCAACTCAAATAAGGACACATCAACTACCAACAAAGCAACAGAAGATGTAAAGAAAAGTTAGGTGTCAGAAACCATAGCAGAAACAGCAGATTGTGGCCTTGAGAAACCAAACGATAGAGGTAACAATAGGTTGAATGGATGCATGTTGGAGGGAAAATCATCAAACCTAGGAGTAGGTAGAACCATTACACTTGAAGATGATATTTACACCCCAGGTTTTATTAAAAACATTAATAGGTCTGAAGGGGAGATGCCAATATCAACCTAGAAGTGGTTATTAGAGAAGCCCATCAGAAGTGTGTTGCTGGGCCTTCTGAGGTTCCCACCTCCATTAGTGTTTACCCAGCCCATGCCCCAAACTTCATTTGTAACCATATAGTCCAAGCACATACTAGTTCAAATTACTCTGGCTCTACTCAGGGAGCCAAAATCAGCTCTTCTCTCTGCAAAATAAATGGTGGATCAGATGATGAAGCAGATGGTGAAGTAGATGGTAGTAGAAAGGAGAAAGGTGAAGAGAAAACCTAACCGCATGGGTCAATCATTCCCTCATTTCTTCCAGAAGGGTGCAATTTTCAGGGCAGCTACAGCTGCTATCTACCTATCAATTACGCAAAATAGTCATTCTAGTAGAATTAGTATAAAAAGAAGAAAGCTTCTTGAGGAAGCCCAAGCTACCATTCATCTCTGGGCATCAACTTTGAAGGAAATGAATCAGAAGCGATGAGCAAATTGGTGGATATGGAAAAAAGAGATGCACAAAGATTAGCTGGTAGCCTGGTGCTGATCAAAGGAAGGTGGATGGCTGCACTTTGTAGGCCATTCATTTAGGGGTTCTTGCTGAAAACTGGTTGTAACGAAGATGCTATCCTGGAATATCAGAGGATTAGGAAGACCAGAGAAAAGGTGTAGAATCAAAAAAGTTGTTAAAGAAAGAAAGATTGATATTCTACTTATACAAAAGACAAAGAGAAGCACTATCCATGACAGGGATGCAAAATCGGTTTGGCTATGGGATAATATGGAATTCTTGGCAGTGGATGCTGAAGGAAGATCAAGTGGTCTATTATGCATATGGAATCCAGAAGTCTTCACACTATCAGATTGCTGCAACACCAAAAACCTCATTCTCATCTCAGATATCACTCATGATCTTTTTGAATGTGTTGTCATTAACATTTATGCTCCTAATGATATTGCCAACAGAAGAAAGTTATGGGATTCAATCATTAATCTTAAACAACACTTTTTGAAACCTTGGAGTATGGGTGGAGATTTTAATGAAATACGGTATATGGTTGAAACAAAATGATGTAATAGGAGGGATAGAGGAATGCAAGACTTCAATAATTTCATTGATCAACCAGCATTAGTTGATATCCCAATGCTTGGTAGAAACTTCACTTGGTGCAACTTAATGGAAGGTAAGAGATGAAGCAAAATCGACAGATTCCTTATGGAGCCTCTATGGCTAGAAAAATACAGTTTCAAGCTTTGGGGCCTACCTAGGAGAGTATCTAATCGCTGCCCCCTACTACTAATCCCAAGCCTTTTAAATTTATAGATGCCTGGGCACTTCATTCTAATTTCCTAGCAACAGTGGAGAAGTCTTGGGTTGAATCCTCTGTTCAAGGATGGGCTGGCTATAGACTGATGAGGAAGCTCAATGCTTTGAAACTGGAATTGAAAAAATGGAATGTTGAAGTTTTTGGAAATGTGGTGAATCAACTCAAAAAGGTTGAAGATGATCTACATGCTTTAGATTTAGTAGCAGAATCAAGATCACTCAATTTTCAAGAAGTAACAAATAGAAGGGAAGTTAGAAGTCTCGTATGGAAATTGAGAAAAAGGAATGACTGGATTTGGTTTCAAAAATCTAGATTAAATTAGGCACAAAAGGGGGACAAAAATACCAAATTCTTCTATATCATTGCAAGCAAAAGGCAAAGCAAAAATTTGCTGGACTCTGTGATGACTAATGGAGTCAGATATGATGATCCTATGATGATTAAATAAGAAGTTTTAAGGCATTTCTCATCAACTTTCTCAAAAGATTGGGTTTGTAGACCAAAAATTGATGGATCCTTTGTCACTTTATGCTCCACCAAGGTATTGAAGGTTCTAGAAGCTCATTTTACCATGGAAGAAATTTGGAGGGTGGTAAAGGAATGTAATGGGAAGAAAGCCCTCGGGCCAGATGGTTTCAACATGGCTTGCGTACAAAAGTGTTGGAGATTCATGAAGGATGATATATTCAAATTCACGCGAAAGTTTCATTCCCATGGCAAATTGGTCAAAGGTCTGAATAGTTTATTCATCACTCTCATTCCCAAAATGGTCAGTCCTTCGAGCCTCTTTGATAATAGACCAATTAGCCTACTGAATCTTGCCTGTAAAATCCTTTCTAAAGTTCTATCAAATAGGCTAAGTTTGGTGTTACCTAATATTATTAGTGAAGTCCAATCTGTCTTTTTAGGAGGAAGACATATTTTCAATGGAAACATAATAGCCAATGAGGTGGTGGATTGGTGGAAGAAATACAAGAAGAACGGGATCATTCTTAAATTGGATTTTGAAAAAGCATTTGACTCAGTAAACTAGAACTATTTGTGGTCTATGTTAACAAACTTTGGCTTTGGTGATTTATGGGTAAGTTGGATGAAAGAATGAGTGACCTCAGCTAGAATCTCTATTCTTGTTAATGGCTCTCCAACTGATGAATTCTCACCACACAGAGGGTTAAAGCAAGCTGATCCTCTCTCCCCCTTCCTTTTCAACATTACAGCTGAAGGCCATAACTTCTTGTTGGAAAGAGCAAAAGATAAAGGGCTAATTAAGGGTGCCTCAGTAGGCCAATCAGGGTTAAAATTATCCTATCTTCAGTTTGCCAATGAAGCTATATTATTTTGTGAAGCAAAAGAGGAAGAATTGGTGACTATTAAAAGAATCCTTAGATGGTTTAAGATAATATCAGGCTTGAAAATAAATTTCCATAAGAGTGTACTTCGTGGAATAGGAATTGATGGAGATCTTGCCCAGAATTTTGCATCCAAATTCAACTGCCAGTGCCAAAAGTTTCCTATGAAGTATTTAAGGCTGGCCATTGGTGCAAACACTAGAAGAATAAAGTATTGGCAACCTATGGTAGACAAAATTAAGTCAAAATTGGCTCTCTGGAAAAGAAAGTTGCTCTCTTTTACCGGTAGAGTGACTTTTATAAAATTTGTGTTGTCCAATCTCCCATGCTATTATTTATCTTTATTCAAAGTATTGACAGACTACAAGCAGCCTTTTAGTGGGGGAGCTCTGAACAATAAACGAAAATACATCTTGTGTTGTGGAAATCTGTCACAACCAGTGAGAAGCAAGGTGGACTAGGTATTGCGAATTTGAGAGAAATGAATAGTAGCTTACTAATGAAATGGTGGTGGAGATATGGGATGGAGGAGAAGGAACTATGGAAGCAAGTGGTTAAAAGTTGATATGGAGTTGTTGGTGGTAGGGGTAGGCGCGGATCGATTGCGGCCATGAAACCCCCAATTCGTCATCCGTCCGCCAAATTGGTGGATTGGAGAAAATCAATCCGCATCCGTCCGCCAACCCGGCGGATGCGGATTGACGGATTTGGTTTGACGGTTGAAAATTTTACGAATTTTCAACATAATTCAATCGTACACTTTCTAAAAAAAATAACATTTTCAACATATCACATTGAAGAGGGTAATGAATTTAGAGGAAGCTAAAGATATCACGTTGAATTCAAGCTTGGGGCTCTATATGCTCAAACCCAAAAATCTATACCCCAAACCCACAAATTATATAAGCCTATTTGTACATATATACATATATCCATACATATCAGAGAAATCAGATTGTTTTGGAGTAATTTAGAGGAATTTGAATATCTGTTTTCTCAAACCCAAATATCTGCAATCGAAATCCACAAATTATATAAGCATATTTATACATATACACACATACATAGCAAAAAAATCAGATTAATTTTTGGACTAATTTAGAGGAAATTGATCAGAAATTTAAACACTAATACACAGCACACAGTTACAAAATCAAGTTCTTTCAATACCAGAAATCATCACAATTCAAAAACAAATAGATAAAAAATCATCACATTAGGAAATTAAAATCATCACAGTTCAATACCAGAAATCATCACAGTTCACAAACAGAGCGCTAATTAATTAACAGAAGCCCTGAAAAAATAAGCAGATCTATACAAAGACAACAAGAGAAGACAAAAAGCCGAAGCCCTAAACACAGTCGCCGATCGTCGCCCAGTCAAACACAACAAAAGAAGAGAATAGAAGAGAAGAAGAGTAGAGAAGAGAAGAAGAGAAGAATACCTGTCGCTAGCCGATCATCGAAGAGAAAAGAAGACATAGAAAACAGTCGCCATCGCCAACACAGACCACAGTCGCCGATACCGATCGATTCTCGTCGCCTCCGTTTAAGTGTGAGAGAGACAGAGAGAGTTTAGAGAGAGATGAACTCGAAACCTAGGGCTCAAACCAGAAATGAAAAAAAAAAGGAGGCAAATGTTGGGTGTAAATGAGGGGAAATTTGTGTAGGGCAGGCGGGTCGGGTACATCAATAGAATTGGTGGATCACCCGCAACCAGCCCCGCACCCGCGAAAATACTATTTTTGGACCCGCAACTGCTTGCCAAGTGTCACGCATCCATCAATTGTACCTCAGGTCGGTCGGGTGTGGAGGGTCAGCCGATTGGTTGCACACCGCTAGTTGGTGGGGTCGGTAGCCTAATCTTGAGCCTACTGGGAGGATGTCTAATGTGTAGAAAAGAATTCTTTCTGGGGTTGAGGTCAATTCAGAGTTACTAAATTTTTTTCTATCCAGCATAGAAATTATTGTGGGTAATGGCAAAAGAGTACACTTCTGGTTGAACAAATGGTTGAGAAATACTAAACTTAAAGAAGAGTTCCCTAGTCTATTTACTCTGTAGAAAATGACAAATCCTTGGAGTATTTTGTGCAAAGAAAGGAATTCTCATAGGGGTGGAACCTATCCTTCAGGAGGCAATTAAGGCCTTGAGAGGAAGCTAAGGTCAATAAACTCTATCTCATGCTATTTGAGACACCAAGCCTGCGAGCAACACTCCATGATTCTCTTAGGTGGCAGAGGTCCTCATCTGGGCAGTACATAGTTGCATCACTTAGATCATGGTTGGAAGCTCATCATGGTCCCAAGTTTTCGATTCTGAAATTATTAAGGAACAATGTGGCACCACCTAGAGTTCAATTTTTGGGCTGGTTGGTTTTGAAGGTAAGAGTTAAAACCATTGATTTTCTACAAGGACTTGGAGTGCTCAACAGAAGCTTAAATAATTTATGTCCCCTTTGTAAAGCTGAACCTGAATCTTTAAATCACATTTTTCTGAGGTGTAGTGGCATTTGGAAAACATGGGCTGATCTGTTACCCTGGTGGGATCTTAAATGGGCAACACCTACTTTAGTTGTTGATCTACTACACTGGTGGATGGGTTTTAAATGCAAGAAGATTCTACTGAAGCCCTGGGATTTAGAACCATTAACTATGCTCTCGTGTATATGGAAACTCAGAAATGACTGCATCTTCAATGGATGTCGAGTGATACTGTCAAATGGAGAGTTGCTCTTTGGGAAAAATCAAACCTCCCAGGCTTCCCTTACCCAATGCATGACATTGTCCATAATCTTGTTAGATCATGTTCCATTCCTAAGTATATTGTATAACCTGAACTGCTGCTGCTGTAGCGTATTTCTATCTCTGTCACTTGGCTGTTATATTGTATACCTTTGCTGTTGGTTCCTCACCAAAAGTTGGTTTGGTGTTGTCATATGATTGTGTGGGCTGCTCAATGCCAACTTAGTTGGGATTATTGTTTTACTATGATGGCCTCTACACCCTTTCCCCCTCCCCCTTTTTTATTGATGTTTTTCTTCCTTTCTTGTAAGGTTCTCTTCATCAATAAAGTTTCTTTTTGTTGATAAAAAATAAAAATTAAAAAAGCATAGCTTAAGTAGTGTAATAAGAAAGCAATCCAGTGCTTGAAGCTCTGGCTAAAGTGAAATTTTGGGAGCATTAATCAGTAAATTGTACACCAATAAAGAACAAAACCAGTAAAAAGTTTTTCCCAATATGAGGTTAATCTTTTCTGTCTGTAATTTGAATCTACATTGAGCTTGCTCTTTTCAAGTATAAACTAAGAAAACAAATTTTCTTTCACTTCATTTTTATGTCCCTATCTTTGCCCTTTCCTTTTATTTTTACTTGACTAATCTAAAATCCAAACTAAACATTAAAATTATTCATTTCTTCCCAACAAGAACAAGGAAATATGTTCATGACATTCAAAATCCCATATCTAAAAATTGTCCTTTGCCTTGAATTACTTCAGGAAGTGTCGCAGGGAACCACGGCAGGCAATCCGAACTCCTCTATACGACGCTGTTTCTAGGCACACAACACACACCATTTGTCTCACCTTCGACTTCTTTGAAATATGGCGGGACTTGCAAATCTCTCTCTCTCTCTCTCTCATGAGCTTGCTCTGTGTCCTCTATGCGACAACGATAAAAACCTCTTTTCCATCTATTTATCTGTAGAAAATCATATATTGTACACACAATTCTAACTACATTCTTTTGAGTTCGTCAGATGTTTCCTCTTTTTCAGAAGGCACACAAACTGTTCGATGAAACGACCCAAAGGTGCCATTTTATGTGGAATCGATACATTATTTCTCACAGAGTACATTGTTTAAAACTCATTCGTATTTTGAAGGCCCAATTGAATTATTAGGTGAAAATGAGAGTGTCATATCTTGGACCTCAAAAATCTCTAGTTTTGTAAGGAGAGATAAGTCCAAAGAGGCCGTTGGGTTGTTCAAGACTATGCTTTTAAGTGAGCAAAGGCCAAATTATGTGACAATTTTGAGCATCGTACAGGCTGTTGGGCCTTGGGGTTTTGAAAATATGATACGGGTAATTCATAGGTTGTTGATAAAAATGGGGTTTGAATTAGAAATGTCAGTTGTAACCGCCCTTCTAGGTGTTTACTCTATTTGGGATGTTGAAGTTTTGTAGAGGCTGTTTGATCAGATACCCGATAAAGATATGGTTTTGTGGAATGCGATGCTTTCGGTGTGCACGAAGAGTGGGCAATATGTTGAGGCTTTTGAGATTTTCAGACAAATGCAATACAATGGTGTCCAACCGAGCCACGTAAGCATTATAAGCATACTGCCTGCTTGTGCTGCTGTTGCCACTTTTTCCTTTGGCAAGCAAATACATGGTCTCTCAATAAAAAGAGAATGTTATTCTCTTACCAATGTTCAAAACTCACTTGTAGATATGTATGCAAAATGTGGATATCATGAGACCTCCATTCAAGTTTTCAATAGAATCGAAAACAAGGACCTTGTCTCTTGGAGGACTATGATTCATGGGTGTATTGAAAATGAGTGCCCTAGAACAGCATTGAATATGTTCTCCGGGATGCAATCTTGTTGTTTCAAACCCGATGAAGTTATAATATTGGATGCAATTGGAGCATCTAGAGAAGCATAAAATTTTAGTTTTGGTATGGGACTTCATGGTTACATCCTAAAAAGTGGATTGTTGGCTTTTGTTTCAATCATAACCATACTTCTCCAAATGTAAACAAAGCCATATCCAAAAGAAAGATTTTATTGCATGGAGTGCCATGATCTCGGCATATGCACAAAGTGGACATCTTTGAAAGCTTTAGATACATTCAAAAAGATGCAATCAACAAACAAGAAACCAAACGAGATAACTTTCATGAGTGTATTACAAAGTTGCTCTTCTATGGGTGTTCAAGAGCTTGGGGAGAGCATCCATGCACATGTGACTAAAGTCGATTACTCATCCAAAGCATTTTTAATATCATCATTGATTGATTTATATTGCAAACTTGGAAGGACAAGGCAAGGAAATGCCATTTTTGATGAAATTATAATCAAAGATCTTCTATGTTGGAGTTCAATGATCAACAGTTATGGGATAAATGGGTATGGAAATGAAGCTCTAGAGACTTTCTCAAGCATGTTGAATATATATGTATATATATTTTTGATCGGCAAAAAATCTTTATTGATGGAAACATACAAAGTATGATAGAGAACATTAATAAAGAGGAGCTCGAAGCTAACACAAGCTCGAAGCTCCAGTTGGTAAGAAACCAACAAGAAAGTGAAAGAACAGAAAAACAGACTAAAAAAGAACAGATCAGAAGACAGATCATCACCCAAACAGATCAGCCACAAAAACTCTGAACCAACAAGCTACACTGCCTTGAAAACTACTCTGCCTTGAACTCCATTCTACACTGCCTTGAACTACACACCCTTCAATCATTCAACAAAACTTCCAGACAGTGACAAAAACAACAGATCATCACCCAAACGGATCAGAACATCACCCAACAGATCAGCCATAACAACTCTGTAGCAGACAAATGATTGAATTGTGGGACAAAACCCAATGAGGTTGTCTTTGTTTCTCTTCTATCTGCTTGTGGTCATTGTGCATTAGAGAATGAAGGTTGGAATTGGTTTTATGCCATGGAAAAGATATATGGTATTACTCCAAAACTTGCACACTATGCTTGTATGGTAGATTTGCTTAGTCGTCAAGGACATGTAAAAGAAGCTCTTGAATTTGGGAAAAGTATGCCTATAGAGCCCGATAAAAGAATTTGGGGAGCTCTTCTTGCTGGTTGTCGATCCATTTGTGGGTCTATTGAGATTGCAGAATTTGTGGTTGAACAGCTCATTCGCTTGGACCAAGAAAATACTAGTTGTTATTTGGTTTTGTCAAACTTGTACGCAGAGCAGTTTAGATGGGAAGATGTGGAAAGGATGCGGAAATTGGTAGACAAGAAGCGATTGAGGAAGGAAACAGGATATAGTATAATTGAAGCCAATTCATAACATGTATACTACGAGAAAGATTAACTGCAATTGATTATTCTCTCTACAGAGTTTTAATTTTGTTTTTCTAACTATTTGTAAAAAACCGGAAATAATTTGTAGAATTTATTTTCTTACTGAAAAATCACTTTTTTATTTTATTTTTATATATCTTCTTCTTCTGGATTGCTTTTTGAATTACATTTGTTTCCCAATCGTTCTTGTAGTTTCAATTTCAATTTATGGCATTTCTTTGGCGATTAATAGTGATACCTCTTTCTGATCTTTTTAAAAAAAAAAAATGAATTTCTTCATTTTTCTTTCTTCTGTGGAGTCCTTTTATTCTCACAATATAGTTAACACTAATTGGGCTATGTACTAAATTAGATATATGCTTTTGTAGGGCTGAGAAAAAAACCAAAAAAATTGCAAATAGGTTTCATCCAAACCAAACCATTGGTTTGGTTTTCTCAATGAATGGTTCAATCTTGGTTTTTAAAATATGTGATTCGCTCAGTGGTTTTATAGTTATAGTTCTGGGTTGTAGATATATACATAATTTATTATTTATGGTAGACTCAAGTTTGTTATTATTATGTTATATATATATATACATTTATTTATAAGTTAAACCCTTGAATAATAGAATAATAGAACCTGTTCTAAAAAATTATTTAAGAACTTTTGTTTGTAAAACGACGATATATTACTTAATTTTTGAGCGAGCTAGGACTATATTGTGAATGATAACAAAGTTCATGAAAACTTGATTCCAAACCAATCTGCTGAACCCTTTTTTTTTTTTTTTAGTCTGGGTTGGTTCCAAATTTTATAAAGGGAAAATTAATCTAGATCCCTCTCTCACTTTTCATAATAAAAAAAATTCACATTTTTTTTATTTTTTTATTTATTTTTTATTTTTTATTTTATGTATAAGGTCCCTAAACATATCCCCTCTTTGTCTCTCCTTCCGTGCCCGATCTAAACGAAAAGCTACCATCGGCAGCTATGAACAACTCTCTCTCCCTTTGTACCGAGCCAGCACCACTGCAAAGCATTGACCAACACCAACCTCAACACCACGCGCAACCATGGCAGCAAGCTTCTGATCAACTCTCTCTCTCTCTGCAGTGTCGGATTTGAAAAATATATACATATGCATGGACCAGCTGCTCTTCTTCGGAGGAGCGGACACTCCGTCCCCGTCGGCGTCAGCGTCTGATGAGGAAGGGTTTTGAAATTGGGCATCTAATGTCAAAGAAGATTGCGAGCTGAGAGAGAGGTGGGTTCGGGGTCAGAGGGGTTTGGGGAAGAGGAGAGAGAAGAGAAGGGTTTGGGTGTGAGGAGAAGATTTGTGCAGCAAAAACTTGAATATGAAATTACTATGGGCTTTGAACTTTCTATAAATACCTGGTCTATGTTTGTGAATGGGGTTGTTCATTGGGTTGCATTTGATCCAGCAAAGGAGCATGGTTTTGGGATCTAGATTGTGGCATTTGATATGGGCAATGAGGTGTTTAGGGAGATCTCTTTGCCAAACTATCAACCTGACGGGAGGCTTCATACAAGCACGGCTGTTGCAGTATTGGGTAAGTCACTTGCTGTATTGGGTGAGTCAAAGTGAAGCTGGTTTTTTCAAAGTCAGAGAAATTTTCTGGATCAATGTACAATCACCAAGGTCTGTTCATAAAAATATAACTCTGCTGCAAATAGAGAGAATTTCTCTAGTTTCAATCCAGAGAATTTCTCTGATCTGCCTGGTTTGAAATGAAATTTCTCTGGGTTGGTCCAGAGAAATTTTTGGATTTAAACTGAATTTTCTCTGGATGGGTCCAGAGAAATTCTATGGTTTGAATTGAAATATCTCTGGGTTGATCTTTTATGAGCATATCAGATTGCACAAGTCCTCAAGCAGATTTGATAGCATCAACAGAAGTGGAACCCCAATCCCTCCTACAGATGGATTCCCAGAGGGAATCAGAGGAAGTGAAAAACCTGAATCTGTTGCAAGTCATGGCAAAAGAGAGGATTGAATCTATGGGTAAGAGTAGGAGGATTGAAAAGAGATGGTCTTGAGCTATGTTGGTTATGGGTGACCAAGGTTGTTTTGTCTGCTTATCAAATTTTTTCCCTAATGAAAGGAATTGTCTTATTGTGATGTGAAACTGTCAATCAATCTATTTTTCAATTAAAATCATCTATAGTATTTAGATGATCATCTGTAGTATTTAGATGATCATGTTAAAGGGAAATTTTCTTTGAAAGGTATTAAAATCATCATGAAAGGAATTATCTATTTCTCAATTTTCTCTGGGTTGTAAAGGGAAATTTCTCTGGTTTTGAGAATTTTCCATCGGCAACCTCTACGTCATGTTGCATCTCCAAATCACCCCCTAATGTTGAATCACGAGCTTTGCCCTTCATGATCATTTCCTTCCCAGAATTGTCATCAATATATTCTCAATATTTTCAACTCAGAGAATTTCTCTGGACCAAAATTTCTCTGGGCTAATTTTCTCTGGACCAATTTTCTCTTGACCAATTTTCTCTAGATCAACTTGAGGGACCTTAGACATTATGAAAATATTAGATGTCCTTTATGCTATAAAATCTTAATACAAGGGACCTTAAAAAAAAAAGCCCTTTTATAAAACCATAAGTAGTAGTTTGATCTTGGTTTACTTCAAAATCAAACCAAACCAAACAATCCTCACCCTTAGGCTTTTGTAGGTGTTAAGGTAGTATTTAGTTCAATAGAATGTAGATCATCATAATATCCGTTCTCATGTTTGGTTGACTAAAAGAATAGTAATAGAAATGCATTGCAAATGAAATCATTAATGCTGTGTTTGATTTGGAGATTTAGAAAGAGAAATGGAAAATGTGTGTAAAATTAGATAAAATATAGATGTATTTTATTCACATTTCATTTAACCTTTTTTCTTTCCTTTTCCAAATCCCTTCCTAAATCCTCAATCAAACACAGCGTAAGGGAATAACCGTTCTGGGAACCTAAGGAATGACCATTACATTAATCTAATTTAGAGCTTTTGTTATGAAGCCTTGCAAGGGAATAAGCATCATCAAATGCTTAAACAAATAAATTTGAAATGATGGTATAAATTAGTAAAAATGGGCAATTTGTTTGTTTTCTTTAAGGCCCTAAACTTTGGTGCGACCTAGAAATTCGGATGTGTTGTTGGTAGTTTGCGGGTGATTGCAAGAATCTAGCATTTACTCTATAGGGGCCAGCAGGGTTGGCCCAAAGGACAGAAGTTTTCTTGTCATAAAAAAGTGTTGGTTATTAACTTATTAATGTGAGGACAAACGTTTAGTTACCCTTGTTGATGGAAAAATCTCTCTGAGCAATGTCCATTAATTTTGTGTGTGCTATTTCATTGAAATGCAGCTCTAATGTAATGAAATAGAGCATCTAGTTTCAACGGTTTCATTTTATTGGAGGCAACACAAATGAATCAAGGTTAATTTTGGATACAAATTTATGGAATGGTACTTTTCTGTTGGAAGCATAGGAAATGCATCAAGGGTAATGGGAAATAATTTTGTGAAGTTATAGAAGAATGCTTTTGATCCCCAACTTGCCATGTTAAATTGCTTCACAGTTGCAGCTTTTTCTGATATAATTTGATCAACATGTGGTTTTATCCTTGGGTCTCTTATAATACGTGTGTTCAAATCACATCTGCCATGTGTCACTAGTTAGGATAATCTAAATGAAGTGCTGAACCTTTTTGCTATTTTGTATAGGCTGCAGACAAGCCCCCAAAGTTGCAGGAGCGAGATTTTTCTGGCACTGCTTATGTTCCTGTATATGTGATGCTGCCGGTGAGGTGCATAATCTTACTCTTTGTTTTGATCTTTTTTCTCTTGGATTTTCTGTCATTTCTAGTTATCTATCTTCTTCCGGCTGGCCATGCTATTACACATTAGAATTTCCTTTATGTAAAATTTACTCATCCACAGACATTGTTCTTGTCATAGTTGATTACATAATTTGGGAAAATTTGTTCCTCATGTCTCCTGTTTACTTTTTGTAGGGGCAGCTGGGTGTCATCAATATGGATTGTCAGTTGGTTGATCAAGACAATCTACTTAACCAGGTAAAGATCTTGAAGCCGGTTAATGTCAATGGTGTTGTGGTTGATTGCTAGTGGGGAATAGTAGAGAGACATGCTCCGCAACAATATAATTGGAGTGGCTACAAGTGCCTCTTTCATATTGTGTGTGACCTCAAGCTTAAGTTGCAGGTGAGAAGTATGGCACCTGTGTTGCTATTTGTTCTGTAACATTTTTTGCTTTTGCTCTTTAGGGTATGCATGTAGTGCTTTTTCTTCAATTTTTTTTATTTTTTTATTTTTTTGTTTTGTTTTGTTTGGTTTTGAGTTTTTGTTTGTGCAATTGTAGATTGATAGATACACATAATAATATTACCACTGCTAGCTTGTAATGATCACAGAGACAATGAATTTACTTTGGATCTCTCTCTCTCTCTCTCTCTCTCTCAGCACTGAATCATCATAAAGAGGTCTGCACTCATATAATTGAATAAAATTCATGCTGAGCATTGATGGAAACATTTTTTCATTATACTTATCATTAATGCTTGAGACTCCAAATTTTTGTGACTCCCACAATCCCCAATAGATTGGTGACCACTCACTATGTTTTTTTTTTTCCCTCTCTTTCCTCCCTCTCTCTCTCACAAATGGTGTGGGGGTTGTGGGGGTCCTGGGGGTATGTAGCATTTCTCTATACTTATTTAGTCATCTGAGTTCAAAAAACTTCAAATTCTTGGATTTCTAGAGGGGGAAAAAAAAGGGACTAACACAACTCTAGAATTTTAAATCCCGTCATTAGTTAAATCCTCTTTTTCAAAATAATTTGACAAGGACAAAACCTAATATGATTTTTTGTCTTGAAATTAAGTATTGTTATTCATCCTGCTGATGTATGCAGTGGTGGACTGGCATTTATCATCATAACATCAGGTACAAGAACTGATTCAGCAAATATGCTTCCTAGTACTACAACCCATACTTTCTAGAGCCCCAGTCAATCACTGGGATGTCCATTGCTGAATCTTTAGTTCACTATAGTTATGGAAGTACTTTGGTCCAGGGAGAAGAAGAAAATAAAAGCACAATGATGAGCCACCAGTTACATAATTTTCTTAGTAGTTTACAAGATCTGGAGCTCAATTTGAATGTGTTTTCTTGAGTTTTGCATTAATATGCAGGAAACACCGTGATAAGTGAGAGGCATTCTTCTATTGATGTTCACAATAGCTTGTCTTCATTGGCAATATAGTTGATTTTTCTATTTGAGCTCCACGATTGTATGATTGCCGCCTTCTTTTTTTTCTTCATAAGTTTCTTTGATGATTGCCTATTACCTCATTTAAGTGAAAAAAATGTCGCAGGTAGTAATGTCATTTCATGAATGTGGAGGCAATGTTGGGGATGATGTTCACATTCCACTTCCCCAATGGTTGACCGCAATTGGTCAAAGAAATCCTGACATATTTTTCACAGACAAAAAAGGAAGACACAACCCTGAATGTCTCACTTGGGGAATTGACAAGGAGAGGATTTTAAGAGGTGGGACTGCTGTTGAGATATTGCATTATGTTGTTTTATTAAGGTGTAGTTTTTCTTAATGTATCTAAGTGACGAACGTGTCCCCTAAATGTCCAAAGGCTGTTCAAGTTTAAAAAAACAAAATATTAGGACACATTTTGACGAGTGTCTGACACATGTCAGGAAATGTCCAATGACTGTAGGTGTTCAACATAGACATACCGCACACACTTGACTCATGATCACGAAATAGAGTTCTGTTGCTTAACAAAGGTGATTGAGCCCTTGTAAGATTTGATTCCTTTAGCTTCAAACCTCTTGTTGCCTACTTTTTAGCACTGCTCTGCAAGAAGGCATCCATCTTCCATTCTTGGCCAGTTGACTTAAGTTTTCATTTTCTAGCTTTGTTTTTAATTTCTTTGGAAATCATTGCTAGTTCTGTTTAAACACAAGGTTTTTTTTTTTTTTTTTTTTTTTTTTTTTTTTTTTTTTTTTTTTTTTTAAACTTAAGTTTTACTTAAGCTAACAATGCCTTGTCCCAAATATTTTGTTTGTTTACACAAATTTTGCTCTTCATCTGTCCTATCTAGGGCCATATAGCGGCTTCTGTCCTATCTAGGGCCATATAGCGGCTTAATAATGTAGTCTTGGGCTATAACATTGTATAAAGTTAGTAGTCCTTGAATGGTCATGACCTCGTCATATTTTTCAGGTTCATATATTCTGATCGCTTTTTCATCAATTGTTTGCATAATTTCTCATGTTTCAGCTGGAAGTGATTCTAACATGTCTGAAAATTATAGTTTTTCACTCATCATGAGATGCACTAAGTTGTTTATATCTCAGATAAATAGACTAGACACATCTTTATGGCATGAGCCATCATTTTTACAACGAGTGGTGTTGGGTGCAAATGCATCAATGAATAGAGAACATGGGTTGAATTTGATAACTATTAGCAAATAAAAAATGTGTAATTTTAGAAAAACAAAAAGCGTTACGAAACTTCAAAACTTTCGAGTTTTGTGTTTTATATTATTGTAGTATAGATTGTACGAAACTTGCATGAATTCACTCAACATGATGTTGCACAGAGTATGTTGTCATTTTTTGTTGTTGGAACACGATCTTTCATTTAGTGATCAGTACTATTGGAACATCATCTTTACACGGTGACTAACTGAGAATTATGTTAGCACTTGATATGTAGGTGAGACAGTCTTGGATCTGCAATCTTTGTCTAAAGTAAAACAGCACCAAGTTTCGTCTGATGAAATCCTGGGCTCCAATTAAGAAAGAAGAAACGATATTTATTTGTCTGTACAGTTAATATAGTAACACGTTCTTCTTCAAGTGTTAAGGATAATAATGTTTTGTTTCACGAATATGAATGTATCGTCTAGATTTATTTTGGGTATAGAATAAATCTTGGCAATACATTTAATTTTTTTGTACATATTTTTGTTTTTTGTTTTTGTACGCATATCATTAGCACTTTTCTTATGATGTCAGTCAGTTATGGGGAAATTCTCATTGCAAGAAATGAGTTGATAAGCATGACCACCCTATCAAGCTGCTTTTTTTTTTTTTTTACCGAGGTAATACTGTATGATTGCTAAGCATAGTAAGAATTTCAATAATTAAATGTCACTTTTGTAAAAAAAATTATTTTAAAATAATAAATCAAAATGTAAGGATTTGTATTTATAAATAAAAAAAATAAAAATAAAACTCAACTCAACAATTTCAAGAACAAGGCTTTCCTTGCAAAGTACAAAGTTCACATGAATCTTGGTAAAAATTATTGTTAGGTTTGGTCTATAAGATGTGGGCTTTAATATTTACCACTTGTGTGGAGATTGTATATGATACTCTTGATTAATGAGATTACAAAAAAATAAAAAGTAAAAAGGAAAAATAACAATAATAAAAAGAAAAAACTAAAAAACCAATTCTACCCAACCAATTAAGGTATCTCCACACTAGTAGTGAATATTAGGTATTGAATTGATACTCTTGAGAATTTTTGATAATTACTCTTTAATATTACAATGATTTTATTTCATTTTTCAAAAAAATGATATAGAAATAATTTTTTGGTGCAATTTGTTTTACAAACTAAAATGGTGTGCAATGGAAAAGTTTTAGTATTTAAAGAGGACACAAATAAAATGATAAAAACAATTCAACTACTACCCCAATTAATAAACTAAATTGAAAAAGAAAAATTTCTTTGTATAACATTACTCATCTCAAAAAAAATTTCAATCTTTTAGAGACCTTTTTATTTGCACAACACGTTTCTTCTTAATTCGTATAATTTTTATTTTATTTATTTTTAATTCCAATTTTGTGTTTAAAATAACATACTATTTAGGATAAATAGCACACATCTTTGTTCAAACCTTAATTGTTATTGCCACCGTCACTACCTCTTCATTACCATCATGACCCAATCTCGCTTCCCATTCTTAAGGAGGAAGGGGCGGTAAGAAAGGAAGGGTTGGAAAAAAGTTGGCAAAAGAGGAAATGGATTAGGAAAAAGTGGCAGGAAAAGGAAGAAGTGATTAGGAAGGAGGTGGTTGAAAAATAGATAGGGTAAGAAGGTGGCTGGAGAGGAGTTTGGATCGTCTGTCGTGGTTTCCTACGGTGGCCCCTGCGGCGGTCCAAAACAACATAGTTTTGGACCTCTTTTTGTGTGTGTGTGCGTGTGGCTTTTGAGCCTCTTTTTTCTTCTATCTTAGCTCTCAAATCAGAGAGATGAAGATGGACGACGATGGCGATGAGGGCACAACGACAACAACAATAGCCATCCCCACCTTCGCCGGCTCTTTCCCAACACCCAGTGCCATTGCCGCCGAGGTGCCACCACCATCCACACCCTTTTGTGTCTAGGCCACTCTATTACACATCCTCCTTTCAAAGAAGAGGTAGCATTAGATTTCTTCTCCCAAATCTGGAAGGTTCTATGATGCTAATAGATTCTATGAAGAACACTAGCCCCATTTCTTGGAGGCTTGTTTTCTTTGCAAGAAAGACCCTTTATGGGAAAGTTGAATTTTCTGGAAAAATTTTGTTTAATCACGGAAAATTCTATATATGTTTGGGGAAAGACCAATTCTTTTTGCTCTACAAAATATGGGCTTACTAATCAGAGATGGGTTTAGGATAGAATCGGCAAAGAATGAGATTTTGCTGTTTTATTTTTTGTTCACTGTGTTTAAGGGAAGAAAAGGGCCCAATTTGAGGGAAGCACAAGAGAAAGAAGAGAAGACCCATTTTGAGGATTTTTGTTTTTTTTAATTTTTAATTTTCATATAAATAAATGTAAATGCTTATATGTGGCTTTGTTTTTGTAGGGTGAAGAGAGGCCAGAGGGTGTGGTCAGCTTCCATGTCTGCAAGAGAGGCAAGAGCATTGTCTTCTTCAATGAAACAAGGCCTTCTTGTGGCTGTAGAGTCCATGAATGTGTTATAATTGATGTGGGTTTTGCTTAGATAGAGAGAGAGAGAGAGAGAGAGATGATGACTGAAACAAGGCCTTCTTGTGGCTGCTTTATTTCTTCTTCCTCATCTTTGGTTTTGTTCTGCCATTTTATTTTATTTATTTATTTATTTATTTATTGAAATTTTGCCCCAAAACGACGTCGTTTTGGGGCACTGCAGGAAGCACTGTAGGAAAGGACAGCAGAGGATCGAGACTCGCTGGGGAGATAATGACAAAGGAGGGATGCTAAGAATAAGGCGATGAAGACGGAGAAACTTATGATGAAAATTAAGTAAACATAATTTGAGGGGGAAAAATAAATAAACAAAAAATTAAAAATTTTATATTTTATAATATTAAAATAAAGTAATGGCAAAAATTGAGTGAATTGTGTTTTATAGAAATAAAGGAAATGTTTGAGATCTTCAAAGAAAAGCTCCCGCAATTCTATCCACAATAATGTGGTATTATATATGTCAACTCTCGATTTGTTACACATTCAATGAAATGAGACCCAACTCCCTTATCACATCAACCAACCAACTAGATCTAGCCTAATTAGCCACTAGGACTTTTCTAAGAGTTTAGTTCTTAGAGAAAGTTATGACTTCAACTCTCCTTACAAGAGTTGAATTAAGGAGGAAATCACTTGGTGCTTTGCAAATGGAGGGGAGACTAAAAGACCATAGGTTCAACTCTCTGTAGAGGAGTTGAAATAAGGGAGTAAGCACTTGGTGCTTTACAGGGAGATTAAGAAGTCATGGATTCAACTTTCTTTAAGGGAGTTGAATTAAGAGAGCAAACATTTAATGCTTTGAAAAAAATGAAGAAACTAACTAGCATAAATGCTAATTTAATAACTAACCATTAGGTTTCGCCTACAAAATAAATAAATAAATAACCCTCTTATCACATTATTATGAATAAACATATGAGTTCAAATCTCAAACCCAATTTATGCCCTTCACTTTTAGGACACCCTAAAATTTCATAGTCCCACAATCCCATCCACTCCACACTGACAACACACCTTCCTTTGCACGTGCCAATCACATGTTCGTCGTCCCAAACTCTCTCAATAATTGCAACTATTATGTGCTTTAGTTTTTTTTTTAAACAAATAATATTTAAAATAACTAAAAAATCTAATTGGTTGGTTAGAGGGCTTGAGATTTTCAGACTTCACACAGGTCTTATACTTTAAAAATGATTAATTAAACATTGTCAAAGTTAGGTTGCATTGGCATATCTTACTGCATTAAAATATAATTTAGAATAATAAAATAAAAAGCATAGAGTTTAGATAATCTAGTTGTCTCTAAAATTATCAGTAACATATCTTTGTACATATCAGTGTAGGATTGGAAAAACTATAGCAATTCCAGTCTTGACCCGACCCTTGTTGTATCCTGGACTTAGGTTTCATGGTTTCATGGTTTCATATTGTTGTTCACATCTTGTTTCCGTCATATCTCCTTAAATTTGACTATTGAATTGTTGTGGTTGAGTTTGAGACAAGTTGGTTGCTTAGTTTCCAAACTCTTGTTGTCTAGAATTTTGCTCCTCCGCTCGAGCGACACTTCTTGTGCTCGAGCGGGTTTTGTGAACTCTTAGTACTTTTGCAGATCTACAAAACTACTAAGAGAGTGTATTCTACACTCAAACGGTTCTTTTTGCGCTCAAGCAGGCTTAGCTTGAGTGGCCTTTCTTGCGCTCGAGCGTTGGTCTATTGTCTGCAAAATTACTGGGAGTGTGCATTCTGTGTTCGAGCGTTACTTCTTGCGCTTGAGCAGAACAACTTATTGTGTCTAATGCTCGAGCATCACTTCTCATGCTCGAGCAGACTATGCGTATATCAGTTCACAATAGCACATTTTTACATCACTTTTTCATATCTTTTTCTCTTAAAACCCTAGATCGGGACCCTCTCTCTCTAAAACCTATATTTTCTCTACATTTTCACCTAGATCTAGTGGTTTCTCTACCCTACTCTCTTCGATAAAAAGGTAGAGCGTCTCAAGGGCTACATTTCTATCTGAATAGAGTTATGTTTGAGCATCTTTGAAGTTTCCTCTTTGCTTTACTTGACTTCTAGCTTTGAGGTTAGGACTTTCTACACTTTCCTATGATTTTTAACTTAGTTATTTGTTATTGTGTAAATAATGTTGGGATTTGGAGGATTTTAGACAAACCTAGGGTTTTGGTTTAAAATCAAAAGAGGGGTTTTCAAATGAAAGTATTGAAAATGGTTATGGGTATAGATATAAGGATATGTTGTGTTAAATTTGTTGATTTTGACGCATGGGTTGGATTTGGGAGAGAATGGAGTTGTGCCCTAAAATGTTTCAATTAATTATTTTGTATAAATAATGAAATTGGTATTGGGAATATGAAATTAGATGAATTTTTATATAAATGGTGGAGTTGGATGTGTATTATCTCTTACCTATGGAAATTTGGATAATTTATCTGTCTTGAAGATCGTATATCTATTTAGAAATATCTATTTTGGGCTATCGGTGGAGGATAGTTATGATTGTTGTAGAAATTGCATGAGGATTAGGTAAATTGAAACTAATCTTTTAACTGTTGTCATTGAATATGATTGTGTTTTAATACATTGTATATGTATGATATTTGAGAGGAGAAATGAGATGTACTCCATATTTGGGACAAGAAAGATGATGGACGCCATTGAATTAAGTTGGCTTGTGTGTCTAGGGTGAAAGTCCCGAAAACCACGCGTATACATGGGTGCCTATTCCCGCGGATGAAATTTTCGTAAAATGACAACTTGAAGTGTTTGTGAAATGGTTGTATTGATTAGAGAACCACTAAGTTGTAGCCTTAGTTGGGTTGTCTGGATAACAATGAATTTGCTCATGAGTTGATGTGAAATGAATTGAGATAAACTGGATTGAGATATAAAACTTGGCATATTATGATCTTGTAGAATATGAATGATTTTATCACAGACATTGTATATGCACATTACACTTATATCTTTGTTAAGATTCATATATTGTGTTGGATTGTTTCTACTAGGCTTTAGCTCACCGTACTTGGGA